AAAAAAAAAAAAAAAAAAAAAAAAAAAAAAAAAAAAAAAAAAAAAAAAAAAAAAAAAAAAAACTAACGTCCATATAATCATTTATTATTATTAGGAAAAAATTTTAATTTTTTATTAAACACACAAAATAAACTATTTATTTTAGGTTTAAAACCTAATTTAGATTTTAATATTTATAAGCTTAATTTAAAAGAAAACTAAAATTATTATTATTTAGTTTCCAATATAATTCTCAAAATTAAATAATTATCAACCCAATCTTAATTTTATATATATATATAATTTTAATCCATAATTATAATATTTTAAATTATGGTATAGTATATCATTCAAATAAATCCAAATTTGTCCGACCGGATAATTATAATAATAGGAAATAAAAAAAATAAAAAATAATAATAATAATAAAAAAGAAATAAAACCTATAAAGTGAATTAGTTATAGACTTTTTAACATGCATTTCCAATCATTAGACCGTTCAAACGGTGCGTTATCTTTTTTTTGGATTTGGGATGATGCGAGCAATTTTGTAATAATTTAAAATATTTTAATTAATTCCATATTTTGTAAAATCCTACCTACAAAATCACCTTTTTCTTTTATTTTATAATTTATTTATTTTATTATATATTCACACGTCTAACAAATTTAACAAAAAAAAAAATGAAAAATCCATATTATTTTATTTTTTTACACAAAGAAGCTAAATTTCAATTGCGTGTGTATTTTTATATTTGAAATTTTAAAATTAAATTTATGAAGCAAATATATATTTCAATTAATTACTTAAATTATTTAATTTAAAAAACTCACATATTTTTAATAGTGTGAAAGAAAAACGAGGATAAAAAAAAATTTGAAAAAAAAAAAAAGAAAAAGAAATGTGTGGTGAGGTGGCAGTACAAACCTTATCCAAAACCAGATTTAGAAGTAAAAGGGCGGCGGCGAGGATGCGGCCAAGTGGAGTACACTTGTCTATACTAAAATTTGCCACGTGTCATATTAAAGAAATTTGATTGCCGTGTGTTATTTTGGACGGCGACGTTGTGGGGCCCACATCTCTTGTCGCCATTATCCACTTAACCATTATATCACATCAACATCATTAAGATGATGAATAAAAATACCAAAAAAAAATGTCTATATATATATATATTATTTTTGTAATATAAATTTTATTTACATCCATTTAATTTTTATAATTTATAATTTATTCTATAATAATATAAAATTTTAAATAATATAAATTAACAAAAATTTATTTAATTTTTTAATTGATCAATAAGGTCATTAAAGTTTAGATGTGTATTATAAACTATTAACTATTAAACCTTTACATATATACATATAAAAAATGACATCAATTTGATAGAAATTCTAAGACTAAATTGATATATATTTTGTTTTTCTCGAGATTTACACGTTCTAACGAACTTTCTAGATCGTCGTTATCCCGTGTTGTCATGAATTTTAGTTGGAAACATAAAATTGTAGGCTAATGATTGTGTTAATTAAAACTATAGGAGCGGGTTTCATATTCTTTAAGAGAAAAGTGTATCCACCACTATTAGATATTGTCCGCTTTAACTCGTTACATATTGTTGTTAGTCATACGGTTTCTAAAACGCGTACATTAGAAGAAAGTTCTCTCTTGAACTGAGGTAGAATCTCACATTTCACACTTATGGAATCTAGCATCCTTGTTGGCATATTGTTACAAGTCGGGCTCTAATACCATTTGTAACAGCTCAAACCTACCGTTAACAAACAGTATTCGCCTCTGCTCGTTATATATCACAGTAAGTCTCACGATTTTAAAACGTATGTATTTGAGAGAAGTTTTCACGCCCTTATAAAAATAAAACCTCTCGAACCAATGTGAGATCTCTCGAGACACAATTAAAAATAAAAAAAGAAGTTGAATTACATTTTTAACCTCCAAACTATTTTATGTTGTGAGAAAGAGATATTTAACATTTTTTTAATTAATTAGACAAATTATTTGTTAACAGAAGGAATGAAAGAGAAAATAGAAAATCACAAGTCATCTCGCTGGAGAAAATGATTGATAGTTGTGTCACCGCAAAGTACGGACACGTCGACTGGCTACAGGCGGTTGCCGACATTGAAATTTAAGTACCATAACGTCGCACTCAATTGATCCCAATTTTTTTTTATTTTTTTCCTTTCTCTCTAATTGGTTGCCGCCGCCGGTAGCCGGTAAAAAAAAAAAGGAGGCTGCTAATGAAAGGCAATTCCGCCTCTAGATTTCTTCGATTTTTAATTTTTAATTCTGTGCCTAATTTTCGAAATTATTTAATATCTTTCGAATACTTTTTAAGTTTTCGATTTAATTGTAAATTATTATCTCTAATAATTTTTTAATTTTAATTTCAATAAATTATAATTTACGTATTTATCAAATATAAATTTTAAGATTTAAGATTTGATTATATATCAAATAGGTCAATGATTAATTAATTTTTTTTAAAAAAATTATTTCATATAATATTAAATACTTAAGAATATATTTATATTAAAATTTAAAAAAACTATTAAGTTTCAAATATTTGATTTTAAAAAACCATATAATATCTTTCATCAATTGAGTTATATTTTGTCAATATAAACACAAATTAGTTTAATAAAAAGATTAATTAACCTCCTAAACGTTGCTCTTGTAAGTTTAAAGGCGTGCTCAAATAGATTATGGAAGATATATTATAAATAACTAAATTTTTTTTTCTAAAAAATTTAAAATAATAATAAAGTTTCAAGCTTTTGCTTTTGCAATTTGACTTGAACAGTTATAAAAAAAACGTGGGGCGGGGGAGGGAGGGATTAATAAAACACCTTTACTTTTATTAAAAAAAAATAAAAGTTAAGGCATTAAATTACTACACAACATCCTTTTGTTTGTTTTAAGTTTAAATATGTAATTTCTCTTTTATAATGGTAAATATTTTCACAGTAACTTTATTAATAGTGTGTATATATACATAAATAATTAAACCTCGTAAGGTTAAAAAAACATTTATGATCCATAAACTTTTATAAACGTTACAATGTAATCCGTGTACTTTAAAAATTATAATAATTTAATATCTGAACTATAACTAATAATAATTTGGTTCATAAACTTTAGATTTTGTAACAGTTCAATCCATATAAATGTAATGAAGATTTTAATCTAGCAAACTCGAATATGAGTTTGGTGGTATAATAAAGAGTACATGCACAACTTACTCGAAAACTTTATATGCATAGAAGAGAATAGACTAGATACATTTTCTGAATTCAAGTTAGATTCTATGTATAACAATCGACTTTTCCTTTACGTAAGAGATAAAATTGCGACCAGATGATAGACAGTTACATGAATTACAACATTACCTTATTTAAAATTGGGTAAATACGACTCGAAAAGGAAAATCATATTAATTTATTTGGTATTTATGACCACAAAACTTCATTATTTTTTTTGGTCAAATGAAAACAGGGCCCTGTAGAATGATTTACACATCATACCCAAATACATTTAAGAAATAAAAAATAAAAGAATTAAATGAGTTCAGAACTCAGAAGAACCATCAATATTCAAAGAATGTGCATTGAAACTCGAAACATAATATCATTTAAATAAAGAGAAAACCCATTTTAATTTCAAAACTCCACATCCTTACAAAATTCAGAAACGACCGAAAAACAAAAAGATTTAATTTTTTTTTAGGTGAAATAACAAATTTCAGTGATAGATCCCTAAACTTTTAAAAATTATTGGTAAATATTTGGTAATATATTCTATGCCTAATAGAATCATAGTAATCAAATAAATATCAACATTCTTCAAATAAGATTTTTAATTAAAAAAAATATAAAGCACGTCAAAAATCTATAAGACAATTAAAATTGAAAGAAATTATTAGATGCAAAATCAAAAGCAATTAAAAAAAAATTAGGAAGATATTTGATAAAAATTTTATTTGTTTAATTTATTATAATTAGTATTTTATTTTATTTGGCAGCGATGGGCGTCTTGTATTTGAGGTTTGGAGCAACCAAACAAGTGTAAAAGTACAGCTAAGAATGAAGCCGACAGAGTAAAAACCATTTTTAAAACCAACCCAATTATACCAAAAACGTGTTGATTTCGAATTCTTTCTTCTTTTCTTTTTAATTTTTTAATTTTTTTAATTTTTAATTTTTAATTTTTAAATTTTTTTTAATCTCTTTCTCTCTCTTCCCCTTGAAACCCAATTCCCAAATCTCCCATATATCCAATCGACTATTTCTCTGCATGTGAAATGCTATATATACAAACCCAGAATTTTTTCAATCCTTCCAACAAAGCCTCATATGCGAAATCTCCAAGAAACTGATTCCTTTCAGTCAAGAAATCCCATTAATCCTTTTTTTTTTTTGGTTTACTGTTTATGGTTGTCATGTCTCACGATAGTCGGTGGACGAACATGACTCNGTTTCTAAAACGCGTACATTAGAAGAAAGTTCTCTCTTGAACTGAGGTAGAATCTCACATTTCACACTTATGGAATCTAGCATCCTTGTTGGCATATTGTTACAAGTCGGGCTCTAATACCATTTGTAACAGCTCAAACCTACCGTTAACAAACAGTATTCGCCTCTGCTCGTTATATATCACAGTAAGTCTCACGATTTTAAAACGTATGTATTTGAGAGAAGTTTTCACGCCCTTATAAAAATAAAACCTCTCGAACCAATGTGAGATCTCTCGAGACACAATTAAAAATAAAAAAAGAAGTTGAATTACATTTTTAACCTCCAAACTATTTTATGTTGTGAGAAAGAGATATTTAACATTTTTTTAATTAATTAGACAAATTATTTGTTAACAGAAGGAATGAAAGAGAAAATAGAAAATCACAAGTCATCTCGCTGGAGAAAATGATTGATAGTTGTGTCACCGCAAAGTACGGACACGTCGACTGGCTACAGGCGGTTGCCGACATTGAAATTTAAGTACCATAACGTCGCACTCAATTGATCCCAATTTTTTTTTATTTTTTTCCTTTCTCTCTAATTGGTTGCCGCCGCCGGTAGCCGGTAAAAAAAAAAAGGAGGCTGCTAATGAAAGGCAATTCCGCCTCTAGATTTCTTCGATTTTTAATTTTTAATTCTGTGCCTAATTTTCGAAATTATTTAATATCTTTCGAATACTTTTTAAGTTTTCGATTTAATTGTAAATTATTATCTCTAATAATTTTTTAATTTTAATTTCAATAAATTATAATTTACGTATTTATCAAATATAAATTTTAAGATTTAAGATTTGATTATATATCAAATAGGTCAATGATTAATTAATTTTTTTTAAAAAAATTATTTCATATAATATTAAATACTTAAGAATATATTTATATTAAAATTTAAAAAAACTATTAAGTTTCAAATATTTGATTTTAAAAAACCATATAATATCTTTCATCAATTGAGTTATATTTTGTCAATATAAACACAAATTAGTTTAATAAAAAGATTAATTAACCTCCTAAACGTTGCTCTTGTAAGTTTAAAGGCGTGCTCAAATAGATTATGGAAGATATATTATAAATAACTAAATTTTTTTTTCTAAAAAATTTAAAATAATAATAAAGTTTCAAGCTTTTGCTTTTGCAATTTGACTTGAACAGTTATAAAAAAAACGTGGGGCGGGGGAGGGAGGGATTAATAAAACACCTTTACTTTTATTAAAAAAAAATAAAAGTTAAGGCATTAAATTACTACACAACATCCTTTTGTTTGTTTTAAGTTTAAATATGTAATTTCTCTTTTATAATGGTAAATATTTTCACAGTAACTTTATTAATAGTGTGTATATATACATAAATAATTAAACCTCGTAAGGTTAAAAAAACATTTATGATCCATAAACTTTTATAAACGTTACAATGTAATCCGTGTACTTTAAAAATTATAATAATTTAATATCTGAACTATAACTAATAATAATTTGGTTCATAAACTTTAGATTTTGTAACAGTTCAATCCATATAAATGTAATGAAGATTTTAATCTAGCAAACTCGAATATGAGTTTGGTGGTATAATAAAGAGTACATGCACAACTTACTCGAAAACTTTATATGCATAGAAGAGAATAGACTAGATACATTTTCTGAATTCAAGTTAGATTCTATGTATAACAATCGACTTTTCCTTTACGTAAGAGATAAAATTGCGACCAGATGATAGACAGTTACATGAATTACAACATTACCTTATTTAAAATTGGGTAAATACGACTCGAAAAGGAAAATCATATTAATTTATTTGGTATTTATGACCACAAAACTTCATTATTTTTTTTGGTCAAATGAAAACAGGGCCCTGTAGAATGATTTACACATCATACCCAAATACATTTAAGAAATAAAAAATAAAAGAATTAAATGAGTTCAGAACTCAGAAGAACCATCAATATTCAAAGAATGTGCATTGAAACTCGAAACATAATATCATTTAAATAAAGAGAAAACCCATTTTAATTTCAAAACTCCACATCCTTACAAAATTCAGAAACGACCGAAAAACAAAAAGATTTAATTTTTTTTTAGGTGAAATAACAAATTTCAGTGATAGATCCCTAAACTTTTAAAAATTATTGGTAAATATTTGGTAATATATTCTATGCCTAATAGAATCATAGTAATCAAATAAATATCAACATTCTTCAAATAAGATTTTTAATTAAAAAAAATATAAAGCACGTCAAAAATCTATAAGACAATTAAAATTGAAAGAAATTATTAGATGCAAAATCAAAAGCAATTAAAAAAAAATTAGGAAGATATTTGATAAAAATTTTATTTGTTTAATTTATTATAATTAGTATTTTATTTTATTTGGCAGCGATGGGCGTCTTGTATTTGAGGTTTGGAGCAACCAAACAAGTGTAAAAGTACAGCTAAGAATGAAGCCGACAGAGTAAAAACCATTTTTAAAACCAACCCAATTATACCAAAAACGTGTTGATTTCGAATTCTTTCTTCTTTTCTTTTTAATTTTTTAATTTTTTTAATTTTTAATTTTTAATTTTTAAATTTTTTTTAATCTCTTTCTCTCTCTTCCCCTTGAAACCCAATTCCCAAATCTCCCATATATCCAATCGACTATTTCTCTGCATGTGAAATGCTATATATACAAACCCAGAATTTTTTCAATCCTTCCAACAAAGCCTCATATGCGAAATCTCCAAGAAACTGATTCCTTTCAGTCAAGAAATCCCATTAATCCTTTTTTTTTTTTGGTTTACTGTTTATGGTTGTCATGTCTCACGATAGTCGGTGGACGAACATGACTCAGTGGACTAGGTTGGAGGACAAGCTTTTCGAGGAGGCTTTGGTGGTGGTTCCGGAAAACTTGCCTGATCGGTGGCAGAGGGTGGCCGACCATGTCCCTGGAAAGTCGCCGTGGGAGGTTAAAGATCACTACGAGGCTCTGGTTCACGACGTCCTTGAAATTGACTCTGGCCGAGTTGAGTTACCGAGTTATGCTGATGAAACGGCCGGGGGATTGCTGGAATGGGACTCTTCTGGACAGATCTCTTTTGGAACCAGAGCCAAGGCTAGTGGGGATAACGAGAGGAAGAAAGGGACACCATGGACTGAAGAAGAGCATAGGTAATCCATATATATACATTCTTTTTTACCCAACTTCTTTGTTTTCTGTTTGGCTGCTGAGAAAAATGGTGGGAAAAGGGAAAATAGGAGAGAAATCTGTTGGGTTTTGTGTTTTGTGCTTCCAAATTGGGAATTCCAGAGATGCAAACAGTTTCTGATTTAGAAATGCCTTTAATTGTGTGCTGTCCATCTCGAATTTTCAGTTTTTAAGGGTTCTTTTTCACAATTCTTTTGGAGTTACAGCTCTGGCTTCTGAACTTCTATCTTAAGCCATGGAAAGTCCCTATCGTTTTGGGGTCCCTAAATTGAGGAAGAACAACACTGTTCCCTGAACAAGAATCAGGTGGCTGGCAGGAGATTTATCATTAACAACGAAACCATCTTTCAGGATTGAGTTCTTGAGCAAGAATTCGGCCAAGAACATGAATCTTTGAACTTACCGACTTGTTTTCTTTGAACAACCGTAAGTGTCTAAGCTGGCTTTTGTAATGGATTGAGTTCTTAAGCTTATGACATTGACATTGACATTCGGAAACTTGACTGGAGTATTCAGAATCAACTGGGTTCTTGGTTTGCCCATTTAACCAATGAGCTGAGTAATGGTAGAGAAGGTTTTGCTACCATATTCGTAATGGATTCTTCATCAAATTTTGAGTGTTGGCCTAAAAGCTAAAGGTGGCATTTGATACAGTCCAATAGTTCTAGATTCAATGCACCCCAAGTTTTGAGATCTGTTCTAGCAGTGATTGGTTCATAAATACATACCTAAAATTGAATTCTTCACTGGCTGTGGTTTCTTTTCCAAGTGTCATGTCAAATATGTAATGCTGTCTTTTATATGCTTTTTCACTCATCGGTTTATGGGTTTGTCATGAAAAGTTGTGTTTGACACTGTGACAGGCTATTTCTTCTTGGACTGAAAAAATTTGGCAAGGGTGATTGGAGGAGCATCTCAAGGAATGTTGTGATCACAAGAACACCGACTCAGGTGGCCAGTCATGCCCAGAAATACTTTCTTCGACAAAACTCTGGTAAGAAAGAAAGGAAACGATCAAGCATTCACGACATCACAACAGTTGACAACAACTCCATCCCCATGCCTATCGACCCCAAGTGGATATCTCCAGCCCCAAATCCAACCGTTCAATCAAGTATGCAGCAGGTAAGTCCCACAGGTCATTTGCAAGACCAAGGAGGCTCATTCGGGTTTCAAAATTACAGGTTCCCGATGTAGCGTTCGGCGGGATATCCTTATAATTCTACATTGTAAATACATGAAGAAATCCGTAAAGTCATACGTACCTGGGGTTTGGTTGTTCTTTTGATTGCCACAGTTGAGGGAAACCTGATGATATGGAATTTGAACAGTGGTAGATTCCTGTCTGTAAGTACATAGAAGAAAAGGCATAAACCATTAGTAGAAACAGTAGTAGTGATGATTATTATTAAAAACAGCAGTTGAAAGTAATGTAAAAAGAGAGGAGGAGGGTAGGAAAAACACAGCATATGAATGGAAAATTCTTTGTTGGATTGTGACTAGTCCTGCAATCAGAATTAGCTGCAGGAAGCTCCACTTTAATTCACTAGATGATTGATTGCTTTGTACTCGAGGAAATACAAAAAATCAACGGCCAGCAGTGTCTATTGGACTGAAGATTCAGACTGATCACTGTTCTCTCGTTGAATTGGGCTTGACTTTGTAAGAGTTCTTTTCTTCTTTTCTTCTTTTCTTCTTGTCAGAGAAAAATGGAGAGCCTTAAATTCCGCCGCCAGATTGGAGTTTATACAAATCCCATCATACCATGTCTCTCCAATAATTGGAGAAAAGGAAAAAAGTATATCATGCGCATGCATGGTGGTGAATCTTTTTGGTTTGAATTTCAAAGCATGATCAGAAATCATGTAACAAAAATAAATATATTTTTTTCAATTCAAACGGGATGGCTGATAATAAGTATTAATTGAAATGAAAAGGTAAAGAAAAGAAAAGTAAATATTTCAACGTAATGTTTCATTCTGAATTTATTGATTCTATGAACAGCTTCATCAAAGAATCCAGGCAGTTTCGAGAATGATAAAACAATTTAAAAAGATTAGTATGCAAGATAATTTCAAAAAGCACATACACCAAGACTGCCCTTGAATCGGTTTTACTGTCTTTACAATCACAGGAAATTACTCAATGAAGGATAAAAAAAAAATTAAAAAAAAAAAAAAAAAAAAAA